GGGAAATAAGTATTTGACCCCTTGCTGCAAAGAATGCTTATTTTTCCTCATCAGATGGTTATCAATTTTTATAAATTCATATGATGTGATTTTCTGGAATTTTCTTTGGGATTCTGTCTTTCACTTTTAGAATGTACATATGATTAAAGTTATAGATCGTTGCATTCTTTGTAAGTGGGCAAACCTGCAAAATCAGCAAGGGGTCAAATACTTATTTCCCCCACTGTATATATATATATATATACACATATAGTACCCTTGGGTACAAAAGCCACAAAACTTGTCTTTTGCATACCTGAATTTGAAAAGGTTGAGATGGTTTTAAATTGAAAATGGAAAATAAAGTTAAGTCATTCCTACCTTTAAAAACAGACCTTATAAATCAAGTCATTCTTTTTCTCTTTCGTACCTCAAAACCTCAATGTACTTGTTAATACAGATCTATTTTCAGCTTTCGGGCCTCCCACATATAATGAAACACTCTCACCGCTTTGTAATGTTGCTAGTTGCTATTTTGGTCAGATAAACACACCTCAGGGTGAGTGGATCCGAAAACGGATCAATGCTTCTTTTGAATGGAACTTGGCTTTAACGTTCTTCCCACCGGTTTCCTGACGCGACCCCTCTCACTAATGCTCGTATTAGCTTCTAATGAATGAATGATGAAGGACATTACTGGACATTACATCCGCCTTCTTAAACTTTATTCACTCAAACTCCCTTCGGGCCCCTTAAATGGTTTAATGACATGATGTACAATGGAAGAGGGACAAGTGAGGACATTCCTTTGAAAAAGTACACAGGTTTGATTTTGATTCTATTTCCTCAACCAAATAAGCCCCGAATAGCTTGAATAAAACTGTGTTGGATGCTTGAAATCCAGGAGTGGATGCATATTAACAAAGTCTGTTAAAGAGATTAAACATGGAATATCAAGAGTCCACACTGCGGACATGATTTAAACACTCAGGATTTAAAAATTAAGCTGACATTATCCATCTGAAATGGAGAAAAGCTGAATAAGAAGGCCGCCTTTTCACAATCCCAAGTTTTGGCACCAATAAAACCACAAAGGACCAAGCAGTCTCCATCTATGGCTCAAATCTCTCCGCTGGCCTTCTGTCAAACTCACATCCATCTAACCGTTGCACATTTTCAAAGGTTGTGAGAAAAAGAAGGAGGGCAGATGACAAATGAGGGCGGTTATGAATAAAACAGGACGTTGACCAAGTTACCTCGGTGCCCAGGTCGTCTGTCACCTGCCGCATTAAAGAGGAGAAAAAAGACAAAACTACAAGTGTAAACGCCTCGGAAATGAGGAAAATTTTACTGTGGTGTTTTCTGTTTATTTATTTGTTTTGTACTTGCTGCTCTCTCTTTTTTTAATTGTCTATATACTTTTTATTTTTATTTATTATTATTCACATATCCTTGTACCGTCAGAAGGAAGGATGTGGGTTATTACTGATTTGTAGCATAATCTTGTAGGATTGGGGAGGGAATGAGGGGTTGTTGTTTTTGTAAAAATGAAAAAAAATATCCTTATTTTCATTATTTTCATTGTTTGTACTTGACCTTGTCACATGAATAAAAACATAAAAAAATTTAAAAAATTAGCATACTTTTGCACATCGCCGTTTGTAAATAGTAAGTTTAATATATAAGATAAGTTTGCTCATTTATCTAAACGATAATGTCAAAATAATAAACCTAAAATGGGTCATTCAGTAGGAAAAAACAAAACAAAAAAACAAAACAAATGAGAACAGAGCTCCGGTCCAAAACTTCAAGAGAAAACTTCCAAAGTGTAAAAGTGAGAAACAATACCCGAACAAATGTAATTTTAGGTGAATTCCTTTGTTCGGGCTGTTTATCTGAGGTGTTTAGCACCTCGGGCCTAGCGTTATAAAAGCGAATGGTGAGATTAGCTCCATTCCAGACTCGTCCTGTGGTTTCAATTAGACGCCATCAAGCTCACTAGAATCATACGACCGGTCCAGAACAGGCCGGACGGCCGCTGACCTCATCGTAAACACATAAACAGTCACAGGACATTCGGCACATGGCTTTAAACAACAACCCAGCTCCCAAAAATAAGTTGTGTGGAGAAAACAGACAATCAGAGCATCAACTGTTATACTGGAACAAACAAGGGAAGGAAAAAGCTCCCTTATTTACAGCAAACAAACGCATTTAAGCTGTGAATCACATGTTATCAAAGACACACACACATAAATCAGAACTGTACATATACAACTAGAGTCAATACCTATTAGAATTACCTTATTAAATAATAAGGTTAATTCAATCTTTAAACCATAAAAGCCTTAAAATAGCCTATTCTCTTTTCTGTTTCACGTGAAATTAAATCATTTTAACCTGAGAAAGAGATAGCATTTAAGGAAAACAAAGCGTGGGTGTAATTAAAGGTTTTAATAATCTGGAATATTAACCCTGTAATGCCAAATGTATCATATTTGATGCATACGGTTTCTGAAATGTTTTGCGTCTGACACCTTTTGCATAATTTAATGGTAAAAACTTTGCTCAAAATCCTATTGTTACACAATCAGATACACCTGATAACAGGGCAGAAGAATACACAAAAAATAATCTTGACTTATCGCATAGTAATAAATTATTAATATGAAAAATGTATTTCTGTTTTTCCTTTTTACATACTTTGTTGAAAGGCCAAATAAAACTCAAACCAAAAAAAAAGTAATTTTCTGTTTTATTTTATTCTTGGATCAGGCTTTAACTCATTGACTGCCAGCCATTTTCAGAACAGAGAGTCCCATACTGCCAGAGTTTTTTGAGTATTTTGACTGATTTTTCAAGAGCCACAGAATAGTTTGTGCTATGACTATGTAAACAGCAAAGACACCAAAAGAAAGAGTAGACTCTCTTCTTTCATCAGGAAAAAAAATGTGTTTCTACCTTATTCCGTTCTTCCTCGACGTGCGTCTCACCGGCGACATGTTCTCTCATAGCGAACCCTTACCTTTTTCTTATTTGCCTACAGTCTATGCTCATCTCCCATCAAAAGAGCGTCAATTTGTTACTACATACTCTGTCTAGAAGCCTGATATTTACGGACAAGCTTTAGCAGATCGTCCCCCAGCCACTCTTGTTGAAAAACATAAAACACGTCTATAGACGTCTTTGGCAGCCAATGAGTTAAAGGGTTAAATATTTAGTTGTTTTTATACCTTTGTTGGACTGATTTATAATGTCTTAACACAGAGATAGTCATCTAAAGCAGACCTACCAGAGACTTGGACGTCTGTCTGGACGGTGGTGCAAAGGGCCGTCCGGAGGTGGGCGCCTCCTTCTCGATGGAGTGGCGTCGGGGGGGCGACGGGCGCCTGTCCGGCTGCGGGGTGGCGGACATGGGCAGGAACTTCGGAGGAACTGCAGACAAAAGTCCAGAACAATTACAAACGGATCCGGGCCTTTAGCTTCTGGCCTGCGTCTGCTCTTCTGGGGGCAAACTGAACCCTTGCCCTCTCTTTCCCTCATGGCCCCCCACCCTGAGCCATGGTTCTGCTCGAGGTTTCTGCCTGTTAAAAGGAAGTTTTTCCTTGCCTGTGTCGCCTAGTGCTTGCTCATGGTGGGAATTGTTGGGTTTCTGTAGTTAACTTCAGAGTAGGGTCTGACCTGCTCTATTTGGAAAGCGCTGTGAGACAACTGTTGTTGTGATGTGGCGCTATATAAATAAAATTTAATTGAATTGAACCCGTGGTTGGGGGGGGGGGGGTCGTACCTTTCTTATCCCCCACAGACTCGAGGGACGCGTCCTCCACGAGGGGCGACATGCTGGAGCTCCGCGTGGGCTCATCCTGCCAAGCAAACAGAGACCAATTAGGGAGCCAGACTCTTTGAAATGACTCAAAACCACATTTTTCTTCTTCTTTTTTAACAATTACAAGGTGTGAAAAAGAAAAAAGGAGAGGAACATCCATCCATCCATCCATCCATCCATTATCGTTACCCTAAGTCCCAGGAGAGGAACAACAAAAACAAACACACACACACACACACAACATAAACAAAACTATGTACTGTCCAGATTGGGATTTGACCCAATCTGGTAGACAATGCCCCGTATGTTCAATTATTCTCTGCAATGTAAATAATCCACTTTGTCCATTAATTTTCCCACACAGGAGTCGAACTTTAGTCTTATTCTGTGGGTCAAGTCCTCCATGACACATGTGTCCATAACAAGTTCCAGCCAGTCCTTTTTGTCCGGGGGGGGGGATCTTCTTTGTACCATTTTTTGGTGATTTTTTTTTTTTTTTACTGGCAGGGATCAGGATTTTAAACAGGTCCTACAGGTTCTCCACTCGGATTGCCCACAAGGATCAGTGTCCTTTTTACAGACATAGCAGCTGGTTGTATGGTCTTGTTGTCTTTCTTTCTTCTTCTTTTTTTTCTTTTCTCCCCCTCTCTCTCTTTCTAAAGGATCTCTCTCCTTTCCATTACTCTTCCCTCCACCCCCCTGTCTCTCTGTCACGTTCGGCAATATTGGACACGTGGAAGTTTGGTAACAAAAATGAATAAATGAAGAAGTTTTGGGTAATAAAGGGGGGCTTCTCACTAACAAAGCCTCCCTTGGCAAAGCAATTTTGTTCATTATAGCACGGTACTGCTGCCATAATGCTGAACAGGACAAGGTAAAAAATAAATAAAAATAAAAAAACAATTACAAGGTGTGAAAAAGAAAAAAGAAAAAAAGAAAAGACAAAAATATCCGGATTGGGATATGTCTCGAGCTGGTAAACAATGCCCCATATGTTCAATAAGTCACTTTGTCCATTTTCCCACATCAGAGTCCACCTTTATTATCCGTCTTATTCTGTCCTCTTTTTCCGGGGGGGGGGTCTTCTTTGTACCATTTTTTGGTGATTTTTTATTTTTTTACTGGCAGCTATCAGGATTTTAAACAGGTACCTGTCACATTTAAACCCAAAGTGCATTTTCCCGCCCCCCCCTGAGCTACGGTTCGGTGTGTGGGGGCGCCTTACGTCGGACTCTGAGCTGTCCAGCTCGGCCAGAGTGGGGGCCCTGAGCAGCCTCTTCCTCTGGCTGAGGGGGGGGCCCCCGGGGGCCGATCCCGGGGGGGCGGCGGTCAGGGAGTGGGTGCTGCCGGCCAGCTTCCTGCGGGCGTCTGGACTGTCTGCGGGTCAGAGAATGGATCCGTTAGAGGAGAAGCCTTTAAGTTGTGTTATTCCAAGTGGAATCACAGAGAACTTAATTAACAGCAGACTCCGGCGGAAAAAACAAAGGCCCTCTTTGTGTCCCCGCCGGGCTCCACAGAGGCTCGATTGTGAGGGATAAACCCCAATCGCACGCTTATGTTACAGATTTTCATCATAACTTTGTGATTGAGTGAAATCGTCTGCAGAAGCTGCTGGGTTACCTGAGCTGCGGAACAAGTCCTGAGGAGTGCTGATGCTTTTCCCGGCACCTGCACGGGAACATAAGACAGGAAACTGTTAGTGAGGGCACCCAGAGGAAGACACGCACTGGGCTGATACACTGGGGGGGGGGGGACCCCATAGCAACAAGCGTTATGAAGCTGGATGTAAGTGAAACAGATTCTAAAATATTTAATAAATTTAAACATTTAAAAATAAAAAATAAAACTAAACTAATTGATTATTAATTAAAATAAAATAAAAATAAGGGATTTTTTAAATTATTTTTTTTAAGAAATTAAAAATGTAAAACAGATTCTAAAGAATTTTTTACATTTTTAAATAAAAAATTAAAATAAAAATTTTAAAATGAAAATATTTTAAAATTTCAAACTTTAAAAATAAAAATGTCAAAGATGAAAAATAATTCAAATAAAAATCAAGATTTTTGTTATTAAAATTAAAAAGAAATTTAAAAAGCAAAACAGATTCTAAAAAAAATGTAAGTAAAAAAATAAATTAAAAAATAAAAATAATAATAATATTAATAATAACAATAAATAAAAATCATTTTTAAAAAATAAAAAAAAAAAAAAAAAAATATTCTGAGCGCTCAGGATCCAACAATCCACGTGTGCGTTAAAGCCCACGGGGGGGAAAGTGTGGAGGGAGGGGCCACAGACGCGGGGAGAGGCGATGGGTGCAGCCACAGTGCCCGGGTTATTCCCATCATCACCCACTCAGACCAGTTCAGTTCTGGGTCTGAGGGAAGCTGCTGACGGCAGAGTTATAAAATTTTCCCCCATGTGTCAGTGAGAGCAGATTAAAGCGAGCAGCGGGCCAGAAAAGCTGCTCAGCCGAGGCCCGGATCTGTAATCTGACCTCACCGACTGGGCTCTGTTGCGAGTAAATAAGTTTTAAAAAACTCCACTAAGATGCACTGTGCTGACCCATCTCTTCTTCATCATCTCAGGTGTGTAAAACCAAACACACACAGCTGTGCAGCACAACCATGAACTTAAAAACAGAGTACTCAAAACGGGGAGAAGCAGGAGCTAACTCTAAAAAATAACACACACACACACACACACACACACACACACACACACACACACACACAGACATATTAACTAACACAGTAAGTGCCGTCAACTTTACCTGATGAGTCAAAACTGTAAGACATGCTTAGCGGTCGCATGACTGAATGATATGCCCATATTTGGAGAAATGAAAGAAGAGCAAAATGGAGGCAAAGGTATGAAAAAAGATCATTAAATTAAACAGAGTGGTTAAAGCAGAACACTGCAGCTTGGCTCCATGAACTCTGACCCTCCTAATTAGCTGTACGTTCTGTAATATGTGGGATTATGCAATAACTGAAACGCGTTAGCTTCTTATAGCCTCCAACAGAGGAACCATTGTGGTCCGCATAGCAGGATTTATTCTATGGATCACAATCTCCCTTTTTCCCCGTTAGGAATTCATGGAGGGACGGATGATGAGGAGCTCCAGGCTGCAGCCAATGGGAGTCCTGCTTTGACTCTGAGGCCAACAGATCTGGGCTGTTAGCGTAAATCAAGATTAAATGTGATGGAGTGAGAGAGCACAAAGAATTAAAAGCTCGTCTCAGTTAGCAGGCTGTTAGAAACAACCTTATTTTTATTACTTATTATTCATTCTGAAGCAGGATGTGGTCTTGCTGCAGACTGCAGGAAGCCAAGGATGGATATCCAACTCCGCCCACATCCAAGTCGGCCATTTTGATTAGGTCACCAATAGGAAGATCCCAGGAAAGGGAATCCTAATTGCTTCATGGGAATGTAGGCATTAATTTAAAAATAGTGAAATGAATCTTGCAAACACTGAATTAAACTCTATACATAATATTATGTTAAGATAGTGTAAAGTTAAATAGGTTTGTACAATAAGTCCAAACAAGTTTAACCAAAAATTTCTCACAATTATGAAGGGTGGAGGGTCAGGGTTAGGGTTAGGTTTAGGTCTAGGGTTAGGGTTAGGGTCAGGCTCAGGTTTAGGGTCAGGGTCAGGGTCAGGTTTAGGGTTAGGGTCAGGTTTAGGGTCAGGGTTAGGGTTAGGGTTAGGGTCAGGGTCAGGGTCAGGTTTAGGGTTAGGGTCAGGACATTGTTTATCTTCCGATCTCGTATAGACAGTAAAGTCTCGTTTCCACCTCGGAAAGCTGCTAGTCACATGACCTAATCAAAATGGCCGACTTGTATGCGGCAGGACCTGTATATCTGACCGAGGCTCCTACAGTACTGGAGTAGAGGAGTGGAGTAGAAGAACAAGTACTATGTAAAAAAATTGACTTGAGTAAAAGTTAGTGTTCCTTCAACACCATACTTAACCCTTTAAAGCTTGATCCAAGAAAAATAGGAGGAATATTGGATTTTTTTTAGTCTTAATTCTTTCTTTGGCCCCTCAACAACATATGAAGAAAAAAAAACAGAAATGATTTGATCAAATTAGCGTGCAATAAGTCAAAAATATATCTTGGTGTAGTCTTCTACTGGCTGTTATCAGGTATATCTGAATGTGAACAACAGGGGTTTGAGCAAAGCTTTTACAATTCAACGATGCAAAAAGTCTCAGATCCAAAAGACTTCAGAAACCGTATGTATCAAATATTATTATTGTTATTGTTTCCGGGCCTCACCGAGCCGGTGGCGGCGGATCATGTCCGGGGAAACGGGCCTCAGCTTCCTCTCGGCCTTGATGTCCTCCAGCAGCCGCTCGTGGAGGCTGCGCGGCCGCGGGGGGTGCGGCTTCAGCCGGCGGGCCGCCACCTGCCGGGGAACAGGGCGGGGAGAGTTGGGTGGGGTTGTCTCGATACTAAAATGTTCAGCTCGATACCGATACTCAGGAAAATACTCGATACCATTTTTGATACCACAAGGATACAAACAAAGACCCCAAAATTGAACTGAATTGTGTCTTTCATTTCAAACTGACCTGTTAGTGATGTTATTGTGACTGGTGGTGGTAAAAAAATAAAAAATAAAAATAAAATCTTTTCTTTCAGAGTGGACGGGATATTTAGCAGTTGCTGGAAGAAAATCTGAATGTAAATGGTGAAAGGACTGTACTAAAAATCTTATTCAGAGTCAAAATGCAGAAATAATTGTTCTACATTGGAAATAAATGGGGTCACAGATCCATTCAGTGTGTATCTCGTTCTTTCAATTTTTAAGAAAAACAGCAAAACTGCCAAACGAAGGGGGGGGGGGGGGGGGGGG